AACTCAGAGGATCCTTCCCCCCGAACCTCGACTCATCCATCGCCCGCTCCAAAAGTGAGGTTAAGCTGGAGATTGAAAAATAACACATAAGGCGGCTGAATTCTTGAAAAATAAGTATATTTTTGGCGTTTTTCGACCCCTTTCGGCAAGGAAGGGCCCGCCACTTGAATTAATAGGCTGAAAAATTCGATTTTTTGCAGTTATACGCGATCCTACGGATTTTAATGAAGTCCAACAACTGATAACAGCAGTGAGTTGCGAGGATCCTACGCGAGAATGCAGCACTAGTACCTGCTCACGAATTTTTACACTGACTCTTACGGGAGTCCAGGGTCCTATAGAACTGGTCCCTGGTCGTATTTGGATTTTGGATCCAATTCGATAGAACATTTTTATAACCTCAACCCGTTTGATTTTACGGTAATAAATCGATAGTATCGATTTACATGATATATACCTTCATACCTTCGCATCACATCTTTTCAAAATTCAAACAGATTCCATTAATTCTTCATCGTTTTTTCCGTTTTTATCACATTAAATACATGAAAGTGAATTCAGGAGTTGTTAGGGTAATTTAAAAAAAACCCTATCCCAGGATAACCTAACCTTCCCATGAATCGAAAATACTAGTTAGCGCGTTCTCCGTTCGCCACTTCCATAAAGAAAGTATCCATAATCTTCCATTAGTTCCATTGCATTCGCAGTCTCTGAGTCATAAATAGTTGTAATTATTATCGTTTCTTCTCTTATCATACTATTTACTTTTGCCAGGTGTGTTTTGAAATCATCCCATTCATTTTCTCTTGGATGATCTTGGGTAATTATCCTCCTTTACAGTTTTCCTCTTGGTAAAGTCTCTTGATGTGTACTCAAAGTGCACTCAGTGATGAAATCATTTTCCTCTTAAATCAGGCTTGCAAGCCGTTGTAATCAACAAGTTAACATTACTATTCCCATCTCTTTATGGCAGATGTGGTATCCATACCTATTTCAAGCGATCTATTCTCCATTTAGCATTCATCTGTTTATACGTGCACTTGATTTTTCAAAAGTTGGTGAAGGCGCTCACTCCTAACCTCTTTTTACCACAAACAGACTGTCAACAGAAGCTTGCCATTGCCTCTTCAAATTAGAATATAGTTTAAATTTGCAGATCTTTCTCACCATTTAAAAGATTTTTCAATTAAGTAGGTTATAGATACTACACACAGACGTTGCAGAGCTGAAGTAAATATTACATTGAACAAAATTGCTGCCGAACTTTGGATTTTTTGTCTCTCATCTGACCAAGAACTTCGTAAACCCCTATTTAGGTGGTTTAACCTTTCTTCCAACTTCTCCTCCACTTTTGCCAGATCAACAGTTGGATTGTGTGATACTGCCAAATGTATACAGCAGTCATATGAAAATTTGAATGGGAACTTGAATCTGGCGTCACCTTTGACTTTCTGTCCAAGTTTCCATCCAATTGGATTAAAAGTTGGATAATATATTCAGGCACACACGCTTAAAAGGTATTTTTGCCCAGTGGAAGCTGACAGAAATGCTGATGTCCAGCATTATGACGATATTACATGGCAACTGTAATCGAGTCCAAATTTTTTTGTGTCGCAGATTCCATTCAACCTTTCACCTGCTTTTGTTGGCTGAAAATTTTGACCGTCTAAATTTGGTTTTAAAAACCTTGTAAGATACAGTACTCTCTCTCTTTTTATAAGTGGTTGCACGATTGCTGCCTAGTGGCAATTGAGGAACATCAGAGGGCTGTGATGTTTTCATTTGCAGATATCTTAACTGGTTTTCTGCTCACAACCATTCTAACTAAGTAAACTCTCTCTAACCCATCTGTGGCAGGTTCTATGATTTTCTGTGAAGAAAGAAAAGCAGTTTAAGGAGATCAGCTCTCTATTAGTGAAAAACAAAATTTCATTTTGCTTAGTTTTACAGCCTAATAAACTGGAAAGAACTGAGTGCTAAAATTTAAGTGCTGGCTTCATTTAACAACAGCCTGAGTAGCTGTCTGGGGAAGAGATCCTTTTGCTGTACTCATCAACGATGAGGGAAGCGCCAGTTCATTTTGAATTAGACAGTGAGGAAGAGTTGGACAGTTAAAGTAAGGTGGCTCTTCTGTTGCAAGTCATTTCTGTTTCTCATGTGTTTTCTCACATTTCATTTCTTTTTTTCAGGTGCACCTCTACTGTCACCACTAGATACTTGCAGATAATGCTGGACACTACTATTTCTCAGTCAGGCTGTATTCATTAGCTAGCTGTCATCTTTACAAACATGTCTGGTCAGTTTCCTAAATCCCTGCAATCTCAAGATGTGAGAGGGTCCTTTCTGGATCAAGCAGCATGCAATAACTCGTATTCATCTCTACCTACCTCCTCTGTAACCTCCACATATTCCTCAGCATTGTCATCAACCTGGCCCAGTCTCACTCAAAGCAATGATGGTAAGTCTATTACTACTTGACAATATTCTCAGGGTGAGGCGTTAATATTCGGATACATTTCTGGGTACACAAGCCAGCATCAACAGGGAAGGCAATCTCAGACACGCTGAGCTTTGGACTTTTCAAACCTTGACACTTTTAAGGAGACTTTTAGAAAATTAGTTGTATCTTGCATCTAAGAGAGGTAAATTTCATTTTCAGTCTAGAGTGTACTCACATAGAGGAGGTGGAGAGTTGGAGGCTCGAAAATTTCTGGAGGGTTTTTTCATACCCGTCGCCCTAAAATCACTGTAGAAATGCAAACTTTTCACCAAATGAGCTCAATAAAAGCTTGTTAAAAACCTTAAAAAATAAGCTGTAAGTTCCTGCAAACCGTATTCTAATATCTTTAATAGCAACATATTCTTTTAGAGGAGGCCAACTCTCAGTTTTTTTGGGACAGCCTTTGTATGATGTTCCTGCAATATCACTGGGGATTACATTGTGAAATTTCTTAGAAACAATCTACCAAGATGGAATTTCAACTAAATGCAGTGTGCGTATTGAAGGCTAAGGAACACTACCGCTTTACTGACAATCTAGACAATAATGAGTCAGCAACTTTGCTACATCCTAGTCTGAAGTATGCAAGCTGATGTCTTTATGCTTTTCCAATTCTGCATGGGAGCACTCTTAGGAAGCTGTAATGTAAAACAAAGTTGCAAACCATACCGCAAAATCACACAAATGGCAAAGTTTTTTCTTCATCCTGTAATATAGCCAGTTTGCAGAAAGCGGCATTGTTCCCTAGCCATCAACATGTGTTTTTATCAAGGACAAGAGCTTTCAGCAAATGTATCGCATGATAGGGTTTTGTCAAATTACTTAAATTCATGTTAATTCCTGCAAAACAGTAGTTTCTGTATTTAATTTCTTTACTACCTCATCTGTATGTAGTTTGTGTGGCTTTCAATTGGTATTTAATTTTAAATCTCCTTTTCATTCCAGGAAAAAACAATAAAAATGGATCCTGTGTCTCGGAAAATACCAAACTTGATCCTGATGCTCTGATGAAGTTGCTTAGTGATGCTGGGGAACCTTTCTTTCACCATCCTCCAGAAACGGTGACCACTCCTACATTTTCAAGTAAATTGACAAGTACCTCCATGGCAGACCAAAAAAGCAATGCTTTTAAAGCCAATGATTCCACAAACTCCTCTCAATGCTTGCTGACTGACAGGAATGACCAATGTGTTAAGCAAGTCAACCCTTCATCAGCTGGTAATAGTTCTAATAGTGGAAAAACCAGCCTTTGTACAAGTATGGCTAAGACAGATAGCACCATGAGCACACACTCAATGAAGACAGTGTCATCATCAGAAGTGAAAGAAAGTCTAGCCAACGCAAGTAATGTGAATAGCTCAACACCTAAAACCAATACCAATGCTGAAGGCAAACCAAAAGGTCCTAGCTTGCATAGTACCCCTCATCAAGCAAAAGTAGTTGTCACTTTGAAAGATCCTAGCCCAAAATGTTCAATAGTAAAACCTGAACCTCCAACTAATTCAGGAATAAATGATACAGTAAAACCTGAAAGTAATAGAATTACCACTCCAAAGAGTGCTTCAACTAATAATCAAGACATTTCTCCAAACCCTGACAATGTCGAGTCCTTACTGGAGAGCATGTTTCAAATTTCTGATGCGAAGTCACCGGAGCCTGTGAAAATTTCCCCAGGATCAACCCAAAAAAGTAGAGTACTGAGAGCAGAGTCTGTCGAAAAAATTTTAAAGTCCCCCTCCCCGCCGTCTTTCAACGGAGAGTGTAACCTGGATGTTCTCATGAAATCGCCAACGAAAGATGCAGCCATGATAAAACAGGAACCTGTTGAAAACTTGGAAGCTAAAGAAAATGACAATCCTCAAAAATTGAATGGGAAAACTCAAGCTGACAAACCCATTAAAATATTTAATGAAATTGAATCAGAGCTTGAGAAAATGTTTGCTGGGATTGTCGAGCCGGAAACGTCTGTGAAAACAGAACCAGCTCTAAAAACAGAAAAAAGCTCTAAGAAAATTAAAAGTGCCCGAAGATCTTCTGATAATAGCATTTTAAGTAGTTGTTCTTCTAGTGATATCAAGAGATCAAAAAAAAGTTTTAAAAGGTTTAGAGATGGTAGAAAAGATGGTAAACACCTGTCCAAAAAATTCAAAATTGACAAGGACACATCAAATGATAGTTTCTATTCAAAATTACGAGGACCGGTAATCCATGTTGAAGGACCAAAGGAAAATCCAACAAGTTACACCATCATTAACTGTAGGTCAAAACCAGAAGATGAAGAGACGCAGGATAGTAAAGTCGGATTACTGAAAAAGAAAGGACCTCAGAGAATAAGTGGCTGTAAGTATTTGTTTTTCTTAGCTGCATGCCGTCAAACAATGTTTAAAATAAGTCAGTAGGTCAGCACAGAATCAAAAGCAGGCCGCCCATACCTTTCCCTCTGGTCAAAGAACTTTACTGCATTTCTTCAGGGTAATTTCTTGAAAGCCGAGCAACAGGATGTTTCACCAAATCTTTGTAATAGTAAAATTCTGAGTACCGAAATTAACTGAAACTAATGATCAATAATCATTACTTAGCACTGATTAAAACCTTGGACTTAAAATTGCAGCATTTGCTAATTCAAATATACATAATTTTCAACTCTTCAGAGAGAACTGCAGTTCATTTTTGGTTTTCAGACTTCCCATGTTCGCTACAATTTGCGCCATGTCATTTATTCAACTATGACAAGTTTTTTCCTCTCATTGGAGATGCAGTTTAATAGCAAAACATGTTTGCTTGGTCACTACACAAAATTTCATGAATTTTTCGATAAAAATATTCCTAAAATTTGGCAACATGGTTTTATTCAATGAGCAATATCTCTTCTATCAGTTCTATTCAATACAAAGGAAATTAATCTATCTGGTAGTGCAGAATAGATTAGAACATGCCTGAATGCTACAAATTACCAAGTTCAAAAAGGTAGATAAGCAAGACATAGAGGATGAACTACAGATCAAAGTCTTCTCTTTCTTGTTTTCCTCCTGCCTGATTCATATTAGTACATATCTCTGTGTTTTTCTCTCTGCTCACACAATTCTTCTACTATCTTTTGAAAGTATGGGTGTTTTTTTGGAACCTCTTCCAATGTGTGCTCCAGGTAATTTCAACTCTCCCTGTGTGTTTCAGAATTAGCATTTTTCGTAAACATTTAAAAATGATTTGGCTCTCTGTATGCTCAAAGAAATGTCCAATGCATTCTTACCTTTCATATTGAGCAGTGCTGAAGATCGATGAACCACTTATCATCTGTTTTTGTCTCTGATATACATGCAACAAAATTTTAAATCTCGTAAGGAATAGTTGCATGGAAAAAGGGCACAAGTGGCACCCTTGTCAAATCAATTATTTTTAAACTTATTAGCCCTTCAGGTGTAATGTAACATGAACAACAGTACATATAAAATTCCATATACTGCCCTGAGTCAGAAATTAAAAATTATAACCAAGTCATGAAAATACTCGTTCTTGAGTGTTAAATTAGACATTATCTTACCGTCTAACTTTTTTATTTTTTACAGCAAAAGCTACCGAAGGCAGTTTAGAGACCATCAAATCTACAGATGAAATGTGGATCTGTCTCTTTTGCAAGAAAGGACCACATGTTCCTGGAGTTAATGGAGACCCATCCGGTGATCTATTCGGTCCATACTACATCAAAGACAAGGATTCAGTTTCGTCAAATTCTAGTGATCAAAAAGTCAAGAAGGTACCCCTTTGTTTAGATTTTTTAAAAGGAATTGTGGATTTAATTCTTTTGTAAGTGAAATGAAAATAAAATACCGCAAAGATAAAATATACTTTGTCACTGTTGCATCTCAGGTTTTTCCTCTCTTGTCAGAAGGATAAAATATTTATAAAACAAACCTGGTAGAATGCTGCATAACTAGCAAATCCAAAACTGTACAGGGTGATCCTAAGAATATTTCAAAATTTTCAAATCTTTAGGTACGACTGTTCTAAAGTCAACCTGGGGGATCTAAACTTCTGAATCACCCAGAAAGGTTTGCATACTGCCAAACGATCCCCACTTCTTCATTTTTCTTCCAAAGAACTTTGAAATCCTTTAATTTATCCATGGAAAAATCAGCCGGAAGGTTTATGTAATAGAATTAAGCCTCAATGCATGGAAAACCTCTATCCTTGAGTCATAGCCATCAAAACTTATCAATAATCATACCTGACTTTTTTTTCCAGAAAAAGAAACTGACAGATGCCAAAGCAGCTATGTTACTAGCAGAAGGAGTACTAACTGTACCTAATAGCAATGAATTTGAAGTGTGGGTTCATGAAAATTGTTGTGTTTGGGCGTCCGGTGTGTATCTTGTTGGTTCAAAGCTTCAAGGCTTAGAAGATGCTGTATGGGCAGCTTGTGGCACAGTGAGTATCAATACTATGAAAAAGCGCTCCTAAATGCTTTCCAGTTAGCTTATTTTTAAAAGGCGAAGAGGGGAAGGGGGCGGTTGTGCACCATGAGAAACATTTTCTTCGGAAAGTAAACAATCATATATATAAGCTCCAAGTCCTCCTAAAATTGCGTATCTGGTAACGCTTAGTTCCAGCGTTCTTCTTAGCCGATTTTCATGATTTTTGCGGCAATCGACGGGCAATTGTCTCTAGTTGATCAACTAAGTTGCCTAGCAATGTTACATTTTTATCTACCGTAAGTTTTAGCTCAGCATAACTCTTGAATTAATGTACAAAATACTGTCATTCAAATCGTCTTTTGACTTTCAAGAATCACTTCTTTTATTGATATGTTGTCACGAGATGTCCAGCATATTTCGCCAACAGTATTGAAGAAAATTTTGCTGCTGCTGAGTCTGAACACTGTAAAACGTTAACTTTTCAGCAGATGTTGAGATATCCTGCCAATGCTCTTGAAAAGCTTAAAGGTTCATGCTTACTAAGTGTTGTGCTGTCTCAATCCTGAGTCGTAGCAAGATCGTTGAGTCTGGTTTTAAATGTCATTCTAAATCAAGTGGTGAATTATCCACTTTAAGTTTTTATAAGCTTAAGTAATTATAACTTGTGATAATGAGTAATAGCCGCCTTGGGAAGTTCAATAACAACTAACATCGCTTGTTTCACACACCATGAATATTTCATCAACAACAATACCTATGAGTAAAGATGGGTGCACAATCATCTGCAGCTGAAGGTCTAGTTACCGATCTTCGTTTCAAACGTCCCAGAAAACTCAACTTTCATTATATCACCGCTCAAGTATGCCGGATGTGAACTTTAGCACCTTTCAACTGCATCAAAATTTCATAAGACATCTTAAATCTGTCGCAGATGTAAATTTTCACAGTGTCATGACTTATCAACCACAACCTTTTCTTTCAACTCAGTCAGTGAAATGTGTTGAGTGATTTAATACTGCTCCTGGAGCAAGCTGAAACAAGTTCTCCAACATTGAATGAAATCATTTTATGTGAAACCAAAGCACCTACATGAATATGCAACTACCAACTTTCAGAAATGGTACACTTCTTGCCAAAGACAATAACTTCTTACGTAGGTTGTGGTTTTATCTGAAGTTGCTCTGCACCATTACAAAATACAACTAGTCCGTCTTCATCTGTTACCTAGATTCGTTCTCTTTAACTTTCAGAAATGTGATCATTGTGGAATATCTGGAGCAAGTATAGGCTGTGCAGCAAGGCATTGTAGAAGCACTGTTCACTACAGTTGTGCTCTTCACAGAGGCTGGCACTTAGATCAAGAAACATTCATTACCCAGTGTAGCCAGCATGAGGTGAGGTGTTTTTTTAAATGGTTGGTCAAAGTTAGGTTTTGCTCAATCCATCTGTGAGTTAAGCCACCAATGTTTAACCATTTCTAGTAAAATCCCTTCGATAAATGCCATTTTGGGAACAATTCTAAATCTGAAGCCTTTTTGCCTTTTCAAATGAAGTATCCGGTAAAATTTAAATCAGCATATCAAGGGCAAGGAAGGGAAGTGCTAATGATCGAAACTGATCTAATATCCCTGAAAGAGGGATGTGATGAAAACACTAAAAAGAGCAGTTTTCAATGCTTTAAATGTAAGTGGAAATAAATAAAAGCATGTAAAGAAAAATTATTTTCAATTGCCTGCTAGATACCAGAAATCAGTGAAGTGATCTCAGGCAGATTTTCATCTGAATTTAAGTGATCTGGATTAATTAATGCCTTTATGTTTTGCTGCCATGCAATGTCTTCTAGAAGTAGAAATTTGGTAACCTAAATATTAATGTGAAATACTGGACTATTAAGTATAGCAGCATATATTTTTGGTAATATGACATTATTTGTCAGGATCTATTACGAACATATGTTAAGAATTAGAGAAATTAACATCGCCCATTGCTTTTGCTTCCCACCCTCAAAATTGCCCTCTAATCCACGTATAAATGATGAAAAGGTGGACCTTTAATTTTCGAAATTCTCTTTGTGATTTTACTTATTTTGAGGGAAAGCAAACAAAAATGTTTTGCCTTTTCAAGCAGCATAAGTGCGATAGATTTTTTGTTTTCTTGTTCCTCGCTTACTGTTATTCTTATTGACCAATCAGTGTTTCTTGTAAGTATTTAGTTCACGCCATTTTAATTTTTCTGTTTCGTATCTTAGTTTTGAGATTGAAACTTTTGATTGTTTTGTGTTCGAAGTTCTTCTCCAAAATCAGCTTGACTAAATTGATAAAAATGAAAATGCAGCAGTTAGACCAGAAAATAGAAACTAGCTACACCCGAAGACCAAATGCACATATCTAAATAAAAAGGAACTACATATACCCTTTTTGATGTGAGCTCTGAGATCCATAAGAAATCCTGCATGACAGGGCTCATGTCACAATGGAACTAAGCGCGCCTTAATAAGAGAACTCCAAAGCTGATAGCTTTGGTATGTCAAACAGTATGATGACCAGGGTTTATTGACTTGATTTTACCATCCCATACACCTAAAATCACATCTGTAAAATAACTGTTCTTTATTTTTTGGAATCAATTCTGGATTTCATCTGACTTTGTTTTTGTATTCTTTTTTAGAACTCTGTATTTTTCTCTCCGTCTGTCAGCTGCTCCTGAAAATTCCAAAGTTAATCACTCTGGTAAGAAAATCTGATGATTGTTTCTACTTAATGTTTCTGCCAACCTAAATAGCCAACAGAGCACTATACTCGTTTTCTCTTCAAATTCATTCAGGAAACATTTTAGTCAGAAGGAAGTTAAGCAATTAGTTCTTAAGTCAAGAACCAAGGGTGGTTTACTTTTTTTTATATTTTCACCAGATCAATTTTACTTGTTAATTCTAAAAACTGTCATGCTGGTTGAATCTTGAGCCTCTCATCAAACGTAGTTTCCTAGGGGAGTTCTGAAGTGAACATGTGTAAAATAATGATTTTATACAGTCTTATTTCCTAACTTATCTGGTTTTGTATGTGTATTTTACGTAATCCGATGTTGAATTGAAAAAATTTGATAATGCGTGAAAAATTGTACAGTAAGAGCTAAGATGAAGATTTGACTGTATATTGTCCAAGGTGATTGTACAAGGAGACGTTTCAGCTGTGGTGGTTTTATCTTAGACAATAGAAGGAGGTGAGAAGTGTTTCTTCACTTAAGATGTGAACTCAGGTAATGAACAGTAATACCGAGCTTGAATAGCCATAAAGCTTGGATTTACTAAGGTAAATCTTTCAAATTACCAAAAATTCAAACAGACGTATGGTTCGTTTTGCCATTGTAGGATAATAACTTCCGTATCAACTCTGAAAGTTCCCATCGAAGAGGGAAAAGCTCATTCTAACCTGGCTTTCTCTCCAATTTAAATCCATGAACGACCGGATACGGTGCAAATTTCAGTATTATGAGTCATGTCTCCTCATCAAAATTTCATGAAGTACTTGATTTGTGCTACAAAAATTATTGAAAGTAACTCCTAACCAAGATACTAACTGCTCATAAATGCAAACTTCGTACTCATAAGAAAAAAACTGCAATCTACTTTATTTAAATGGTCCACTAAATATCAACGCAGCAGTCTCTGCAGTATTAAAATGTGGCAATCTCAATCTCTCGCTTTGGCTTAGCTGTTGCATGTTGTATACACTTTGAACAATACAGGGCGGGGAAGGAACACTGCTTGACTAAGAAGCTTGCCGAAACTTCAGCAGTGGGCAATTTGGTTCCCGTAGACTCTGATTTTTCAAATTCAAATTTTTAGTTACCAGTGCGGATTATAAACTACCATATCTTGGATAGCAGATAATTTAGTCTTCTTTATGTTTCTTTTTCCTCCTTTATCGGGTTGACAGTACTCACACTTTTCCTTTTTCGCCCGATTTGAATTTTCGGTTGTCAATTTTAACCTCAAAGCACTAGTTTTGAGTTTTTAGTCAACTTAAAAAACTTGTGTTTTAAGTTTTAAGTTGACAACCGAAAATTCGCATTGGGCGAAGAAGGAAAAGGGTGAGTACTATTAGTCATTTTTGTTGAAAAAATCGCTATCTAAAATTTTGAAGAGGAAACGTAGGAGAATGCTTAAATTCGTACTTGTCAAATGGTTTATCGATTGAATAGTACTTAATATTTTTGAAAATGTCGGTATTTCAGTGCTCTCTTTTCGTTCTGCTTTTGATTTTATTTTTTAATTCTCCTAAAATTTTGTTCTTGTCAACAGGTCAAGCACACAAATGGTCATGATGGACACTAATAGCTTCAATAGATGTGGAGTTCTCTTTGTTTTCTCCTTTTCTCTCCAATTTTGTTTAGGATGATCTTCTCTTGTTAACAGTAACAAAGAATGATTTGCTATGAATCAATTGGTCTGCGATTTAAATCTGTGAAAAAGGATCGATTATCATGGTGTTTGCAGCAAGCACCATAACAATCAATTCTTTACCGTACCTTCTAATTGGGCAGCAGATGATTTACGCTTCACCACCGCTTGTAAAAGCAGATTGTCTTTAGAAAAGTTTAATTGCAGCGAAAGTTTTGTAACTGCATGTACTGTTTTTAGATAGAAGCATGTTTTAAAATGAATGAAAGGTTGATATCCTTGATTAAATTATCTTCTGAAATGTCAGTCTCTACTTGCTCTCACAACTTTTTGAGTTCAGTAAGGAGTTTTAAACCCTTGAATTTCAGTTTTAGTTTTTCTCAATCATAAGGAACAACCGGGACAGCACTTTATCAGGATATTGAGGTATGAAGTATATCTGGACATAATTCGGGGAGCGCTCTTTTTCTTTTACGTGTGAAAGATTACTTTTATTTGTAGATTCACTCGAGGTAACTGTTGTGTAAACTTTGCCTTCGAAAAATTTTTTGCTTGCCAGATTTTTAATTCTTCATTAGCCTTCACTGGATTCACCGATCACAAGTTTCAATTTTCTTATGCTCAAGATTCTTTGAAGCTATCAGTGTCCTGTATCACTGAACTTGGGTAAATAGCTGGTAAAAGAATGAAATGAAGTTTTTTGTGATTCTGTGGAAGCGTTGAGATGTACGCTGATATCAGGATAAAAGCGAATGTACCAATGGTATTGGCAAGATTGTTCTTCAATCTTAATTTTATTCTTTTTGTCATGTTGAATTTTAGGATTCATTAATATCGTTGTCATCAAAATTTTAAGTTCACCCCTCATTTTTTTTCATTATTGTTATTATTGTTATTCTCATTCTTCACTTAGTATCAAAATCTTCTTGTAAATCTCCCATTGATGTGGGTCTTGAGAGTCCATGAGTGAAAAAATTTATTCTTGGTATTTTAAAATTCAATATATCTTTTTCATTCTAATGAATTGCCACTTCACAAAAGTTTTCATGTGTAGACATAAATCATTTGAATACTGTGGTTGCGCACAAAGGCACCAACAAAAAGTGATAGAAAGAGAATGAATTGTCTGTGATAAAGAGTCTTTTTCCCCCCAAAGGCTGTTGAAAGGGAGGTAAAAAAACAAAGCAAACTTGGTAATGTATTCAATCACTTGCGCTTGAATCCTTTTTAATCATCATATGTCTTACAGAGGCTGCTCTGAGTTTTAAGTGAATTACTTTTTATTTCCTCTTTGTGTTGTTAGCTTATTTTTTCTTCTTAACTTTTGTAAAAAATTTTATCTGCTGATCTTTCAGAGTTGCTAAGTTTATCTTCATAAGATGTAAGAAGAAAATGTCTACCCATGCTTAATGTATTCTTTTCTTTGTAATCATAAAGTCATCAGACTTTAACTGGCCTTCAGGATGTAAATTCAACCATTTTCTATTTATATCCGTACAAACGCAATTTGTCTCCCCTACATACCTCATTTACTTCTTGATTTTTGAAAATTGCTCTGTAGCTATACATTCTGATGGAACGCCTAAAATCAATCGATTTCAGGTTGCAGTTTGCTATTCATTATTTTATTAGTGAATGGCTACGCTCAGAATATTGGCATGTTTGGCACAAAATTGCCAGTAAAACATTTGTGCTCAATACTGCAGCCATCCAAAAGCTAAAATGTGAACTAGATGCACTTCATTTTTTGCCATTTTCACAAAGTATCTTTTACTTTAAGTCAAGAATTGTATTTGACAACTGCTCTTTTATAACCTGGTGGAGATTATCAGTTTTTTCTCATATTTTAATTCAATGAGTGATGAATTATCGAACTTGAATACTCTCTGCTGGACCCAGTCCATGTTTTGTCTTGAAGATAGGGTTTAATTTGTAATGTTCAGAGAACTTAATACAATGTTAGAATCAAAATATTGATGTCCTCAGTGTGTGGTAGCACAACATATTGATTTTCATGCATGAATGTTACCTCGCTAATATCCTCTATAAAAAAAAAATGTATACACTCACATCATAATCATGATCGAAATAAAGGTATTGGTTTTGAGTCTGTCATTCATGTACTATTTCATTAGTGATTGACAGCTCTTAAAATGCTAGGGTTTAATGTTTAATTGCTGCATACCCCACCCAAATACGCTAAAATGAGAATAACGAATGAAAACTAAGGAAAGTGATAAAAACTTTTCCAATCTCCACTATTTCCTTCATCGGTCCCCCCCCCCCTAAAATTCCCTTTATTTATTTCTGGTATCACTGTTTTTGTTGATTTATATCAAAAGATTGTCTTACCCTCATTCCTGATGCATTAATATTTTTAGAAAGCGTTTTGACCTAGAGGAAAAAAAGAAGAAGAAATGAAATTGTATATTTTACTTTTAAAAATATCCAATTTAATGTTCTGTCTAGAATTCTTTGTCATAAATCGTTTTAATTTTCTTATTTTTATTCTAATCCAAATCTTTGCTGATGCCTTGTCAAGTATTTCCTGAAATCAATTGCAGTTGACAAAGCTAGGCAATATGGAACATTTATTTTAAAAGCTAAACATTTTTCTTAATTCCTAATCTCAACCGAGTGATTATTAAAATTCAGTTTTTTACTGCAAGTATCTGAAAGAATATTAATTTTGAAGGATTGAGTTATCAGAATATGTCAACATTATTTGAAGTAAACCTTACAAACGCGACTTCTTACTGACTAATATCAAGCTCTGTAACGTATGACAAAAAAGTTCCAAGTTCAATTTTATCATATTAAACCACACTGTCATGAATCAACTAAAATCATTGCTGCTCTTAAATATTGGAGTGAAAATGTATCTCTGAAACGTTTTAAATAAATGATTTGTACTTTTCTTTGTAAAAATGTAAAATTGAAATACATTTGAATGTGTAATTAAAAGAATTTTCTATAATTTTTGCTCCAATCGAAAAAAAATGATGAGTACTTCTTACAACAACAGCTCCTTCAAATGTTTCCTTAATCTGGAGCCTTCATAATTTTCTGGTATCTATGAGTCGTTGGTTCGGTCTGCTTTTACAAGATAAAATAGGAGCGGAGATTTTAAAACACTGCAATAGAGATGTGCGTTTTTGCAGAATTTCACCATTGATTTGGACCAACTTTAACAGAAACACATGAAGTTATATTAAGCTTGAAAAAAAAATAGGAGGTTTGAAGTTTTATGCCTCCATAGGACTCAATGTCGTGGACAAATTTTAACGACTATTTTCTTCTTCTAAATATTTTTTCTCAACCTTCAATTCTTGACAAGAGAAAATGTACAACCATCCTTGAATTTCAAAATAGTCCTAACTCATTTTCTTCCATCAAGCGACTTCACATTTTTCTGTTAAATGCAGTCCATATACTTATATTGAGTTAAAAGAATATTCACTGGGAGTTTTGCAAGTCATCTAAGGACCAAATATCATATGAACCTTGCTATCACATTTTCCATTGGCATTAGGGCTCTCTGAGCATGATTGAAACTGGGAACGTATAGTGGGAGACAGAAGGGCACCTCACTAAGAGGGATTTCCGTAGCATCGAATAGGGGCTTGGGAAGGAGGCGAAAAATTTTGAAAAAATGAGTCGTCTCAGTAGGAATTTTGAGTTGTTCTTACCAAATTTTTTACCAAATTGATCAAATTAAAGTTACGAAGGTGAAAAGTATGCCTAACACTAATTCAGCGAAACCCCTCACATTTCTTGGGAGGGATGAAGTAAATTTTTGAGGGGCGGCTAGCCCCCCACTGCCCTCCAATTCCGCTCACATTGTTTATCCTCTGCATACTTGATTTTGCTGTGGTGATATTTAAGTAAACAACTTGCCTTAGAAAAAATTCATTACTTTTAGGTCATGCCATGGAAGACTAAATACATACGTCGTAAATGATCTTTATGAACATGCTCACTATGAGCCCCCCTCCCCCTTCTACCATCTACCATACAACTAGACGTGACTTACGTGACTAAGATAGACACAGGTAGGTTCAGTCTAAATATCTAACTCCTATATTTTGTCAGAGAAGACTTTAAAGTGTCTCGGGAATTTCCAATAATTGCAAGCTAGATTTAAGTACCCAAGTCCACTAATATTTGAGTGAAAGAGCACTTAAGTGAAAGTGGGTACCTGTAGGTACCCAAAAGCTGACCTTATTATGGGAAGAAGTGAGCTTAGTAATAAGGGTAAAATACAAGGTTGCCGTGTCGTTGAAACTCAGCTGCTTTACCTAGCTTGAACTTGCTCAGTGATGTTTTGCCAATAATATTATTAAGTAGAGCGCTTGAAAGCTAGAATAGTCACTTAGGATCTAGGCGTTGAAATGAGGACTGGAAAGCAATTATTAGTAATTGTTGGACATAATTCGTCCGATATTTTATCCAGATTTCTGGCGAGGAATTATCAAAATCCTTTGAATGCTGCAATCTGGCAATGTGGAAGGAGGAACTACTGAGGCCTCCGAAACAAAGAGTACTCTACTCGTGATAAGAGAACGCGTAGCGAATTTTTATGTTGAGCGAGTCCTCTTGAGTCAGCTGATCACTGTTGTGTTTGGGTTTTCGTTCGCGATTCGTAAGCTGTCTCAGTATCCGTCAATATGGGAAAGAGCGTTTTTGTCGCAAATTAAAGTTAAATAACGAAGTGTTTTTCGGGTCTCACATTGCCACTCGTCAGATCTGATTATTTCAAATAACTATTTGCAGTTCGCGATAGCTTCCAGTTATTGTTATTCATCTGTGATACACTTTCGTCCGAGCCTTTTGTTGTCAATTTATCAGCTCCAAGAACCTGTACAAGCGCCAAGGTCGCTACGGAGTTCGTACGCAATACAAAGCAGTTTTCGATTTATTTTGAATTTTATAAACTTTAGATGCTCAAGTGCAAACATTAAATTTAAAACAGACCAATGAACGTGACAAATTACAGGACTGATGCCAATAATGTCGTTAATTTCGTTAATTTTAATCAGGATTGCACGTAAGTGAAGCCTATATTTGTATCTCTTATCATCTTGTTTTGGTTTATGTCTTGCAATGCAATTCAAGAAATTCATCTTGGCAAATTGGAGGAAATCTTAACTCATTGCATGTCCCTGTTGGAAGATTTCAAGGGTTCCACCAAGCACACGAAATTAATGTCTTAAAATTTAAATGCTTCTTGTGTACGAAGAAAACTTCGTATCAACTTTTACTCCATCATTTTAATTCTCCGTAATGTTTTGCAATTGCCCTATTCACCATCCCTCATTGTTTTATCAAACCTTCGCATCGGAATTCCAACATTCCCTGGCAGCTATCTTTGTTTTTGTAAAAGTTTCTCATCTCTGTTTAGAGATGAGCTTCTATTAGGACCATTGTTTACATACTGCGTCCTGTGAATTATTTACGCCCATTGTACTTGAATTCTTTGTAAACTTGTTTTCTCGACAAGCTCTAGATGGTGCTTCAGAAATGTCCTATCAATGATAGTTAAGTTGTCTCTGTAGAAGAACAGAAGTTACTCAAGTAGCTTCCTTTGTCTGGCAACCCAATTCATTCTGAGTACATATACTGGGTTCATTCAAAAAGCCCAATGCATACCTGCAAAGTTTTAGTTTTACCAAAGCCTTTGAAGGTGGGTAGAATGTGTAGGTTATGTAAAAAATCAAAGTCTAAATATTGGTTCGCAATTTGCAGTCATAATGTCAGGGCTATAACCACTGGTTTCATTCGGATCTCCATTTTCCTATTGACTGACTAGGGTAAACCTATTTTTAACAATCGATTAGTGTAACTAATTTCCACTATATTAATGAAAGTTGAAATCATGTGAAGATGGTGTGATGCTAGTTTCTGTGAGTCGCTTTTCATACTGATCCACTCCATGCAAATTCTAAGAATGGTGAGATTTAATTTGGCTGATGGCTCTTTTTAAAATCAACCCCACATATCATTTAAATCTTTTAAATATCAGGATTGAGTGGTTGCTCAGAGTTCTCATCAGCTGCGTTGGCTCTTGTTTTCATTCAAGCTACTGCTATGCAGTTGTTTAATAGGGATTGAGGATTGATTACCTCACAATTGGGCTGCAGTCAATCCTTGATCGCCATTGCAAGGGGAATGTAATCAAGTGCCAACCTAGCTGACAGCTCGTCTACCATTATGTGTGCAGAGGTCCTTTTCTATTTTCACCTGTATCATGCGAGTAGAGGAGATGCAGAACTCATTGGAAAGATAGTCTCTACATGACTTGGTCTCTAAAAATTTTAACTACTCTTCAGGGACCGAGTGTTACTTAGTCCTAAATCAATCAGTCCTCATTCAGAAATTCTTCGCAGCAATGCAACTTTTGCTGTTTATTTAACCCATTCACCGTATAAACAATTTGACCAGTTACTTGAAGAGCAGAATTATGCATCATAGGATGGCAGAAAGCCTTTTCAGCGTCAAATTTGAGGTCTTTCCATGAGTTCAAAAGTGAATTTAAGTTATGATCAGTATATTTTTCTCAACATTTATTGGAGGACCAGGAATGTTAAACCTCAAACTGCCAGCAAAAATTGTCAGTCAGAACTTTAATGTGTGACCGGTGAAATTTTCAGGATGACGAATGAGGTCCAGGCTCATTATGTATGAATCTTAGTTAAACGTAACCAATCGGTGATAGGTTTCAATCAACCTCGAAGTCTGGTTTGGGTCAGTTTGACTGTGCTTCAGCTTGGCTTGAATATTTTATACACTTCAACTGTCTGGAACCCGAACCCTGCCCAGTTTGTTGTTGCACATCATTAAGAGAGGTTTGAAGGAGACTCCTCCTCATAAGTAGAGGTTCTTAAGGTCCTCCTCTGCAGGATTGCACTAACAATAAATCTATGACTATTTGCTTAGGTACTTGCCTGGCTCAACACCTGGGCCCGATAAATCCAACATGCTACGTGTTCCAAAAAAAATCACAAGTCAGCCTCCTATGGTGTAGTGGTTGTAGCGCGAGCTTTATGATCGGGAGGTCCTGGGTTCGATTCCTGGCCAGGCTACCCGAGTTTGATGGCCTCAAACAATGGTTGCCTGGGACTGGTTGTAGGGATGGAAGGGGGACAGGACTGAAGCGCAAAGATTAGCCCTCGTGGGTTATTTGAAGTAGTAAAAAAAAAAAAGTGCTGTTTGGCCGAAGGTTTTCATGCAATCCTGAAATTTTTCTTCTTTTACTTCCGAAAAATGTCCTCACTTTTCCAGATCATTCCAAGTAATTACCTTTTTTGGTGTTTTTTTGTTTTTTGTTTTTTTTTTTTTTTTTTTTTTGCTCTTCACTTTTGAAAATTTCCCCACTTAGGTGTATTTCCTCATGTTTCACGCGATTCACGGAGACGTTTTTTCTCTCCAGCAAGAAGAAATTTTTTCTCGCAAGCCTTAAAATTTTGCTTACGGCTATTTTCTTCCGCATAATTAACAAACAAGAAAAAGATCGTCGCGTAGTAGCTGTCAGGATTGTTCGAAACGTCTCATAAAAAGTCAAAAAGATCGATAAATCGTCGAAATTTTCTCGATGTCGTTCTGGACAACAATTTCCCTATCGATGTCGCGATCCGCGGACATGTGGTCGCGCAACTATTCGAACTCTGGAGGATGCATGTGGTATCACACGAAAATGAAGGAAAATCTTAGCTTTACGTTTGCCCCTAATTACTGAAGTTACAGTCATGTGGTATCACGCGGAAATGAAGGAAAATCTTAGTTTTCGCCTGTCTCAAGTCACTGACTTCCATTACTGCAGGTACTAAGCTCGCATCGTTAAGTGCGGAAATCAAGCGCATAACAATTCGAACTCCGGAGTAGGTATGTGGTATCCTGCAAAAATGAAGGAAAATCTCCGCTTTTCGGGTGACTCGAAGTACTGACGTTTATCAATGTAGCGATACTCATGGAAAAATGCGCAATTTTTATATTTTTACAAAACCGCTGGAAAAATCACGTACTTGCCGCGATACTAAGTTGAAAATCACGTGTAACATATTAAGGTTCTTGATAACCGCTGGAAAAATCGTGTCTTTTTTGAATTTTCACGGAAATTTGCACAGAAATGTTTTATGAATCTACACTGGTCATAAGGTATACCAAGCGCGCAACTATTTTAACTCCGGAGTAGATATATGGTATCACGCGGAAATGAAGGGAAATGTTGGCCTTAGTAAAAATTGGCGATAGGAGCTGCGTTCCAAAATACCATAGGAATTCTTATAGCCGGCTAAAGAAGGCAATAGAAAATCATATAGCTGGCTGTAGAATGCGGAGCAAATCATATAGCCGGGCTATACGAAGCGATAAAAAAGTATGCAGCCGGGCTATAGTTCCTATCGCCGGGCTTTACACTTTATCGCCATCGGCTATAAAAGGCTAAGTATAAGAAATTGTGTAAAAATTCGTGTGCTTTGGAAATCATTAGGTTTTATACGGAACCACCATAATATTCACAAAACACACATTATATTTTCCTGTAATACATACTTTTTTTCATCAATTAAAATGAGAATAATCCATACAGGATGTGCCAACATTTCAAAATCAGGAGTTGAAAAACGCCGACTCCGCAAGATTATATTGGAGCCTAACACAGAGCGGAGCGGCGCGCCGCTAGCGCGCACTAGCGCCTACAAACCTAACAGGGATACTTCACGCATGGCGCAATGCGTGAAGTATCCCTGTTAGGTTTGTAGGCGCTAATGCGCTTTTCGCGCTGGCTGCCCACCCGCCGCGCCGCAGCGTGCCACGGCGCTTGAAGCAACTATTTCTCACCAGAGGTATTGCACAGTATCATACGAAATTGAAGGCGCTCCAACATATTAGGAATGGCAGGCATCCTTCAAAAGTACGGAGCTTTCCGCGCAAAATAAATCAAGATACTACGGCCCAAAAATAGAGCGGTAGTCCAAAAACTCACTAAGTCCTAGCATCCGTAATTAGTAACGTTTAGCATACACTTTATCGCCTGGCTATTGCTTAATCGCCATCGGCTATAAAAGGCCATAAGAAATTGTGCAGCCGGCTATAGGAGCTATTGAAAATCTTACAGCCGGCTGTAGGTCTATGGTATTTTGGAACACAGATTCTACTGCCAATTTTTACCAGGGGGCTTATCCTCTGTCTCAAATTACCGACGTTTATGAATGTAGGTATTATGCTCGCCTCGTTAATTAGATGCATAGAGAAAAAAAAGGAGGTGTTTGCATTTCGGGCATCTTGGAATTTTTTGATGATTTGATGATTGAGGTCGGTACAGCGACGTTATGCAAACACCTCCTTTTTTTCTCTATGAATTAGATGCGGAACGGAAATCAAGCGCGCAACTATTCGAACTCCGGAGTATGCATATGGTATCACACGAAAATGAAGGAAAATCTTAGCTTTACGTTTGCCTCTAATTACTGAAGTTCAGTAATGTTGCCATAATCATGGGGAAATGCGCATTTTTTTTTTTTTTTACACAAAAATACGCTAGAGTTGCTTTTACGGCGCTCTCCGGCGCTCTGCGAGGCCTAACCGCCACATAACTCGGTCCTCCCACGCACAACCCGTCAGGGATTTTACACTTCCTCATTTCATTCAATACCCCCTGCTGCCACCCTTTCCACCGGGCGTCCCTTCGTTTGTTTTACCTAACCGCTGAAAAAATCGGTTTCAGGAATTTTAGTCCGATTTTTTTTTGTTCTAGAGAATTTTGGCCCAACAAATTTCGCCCAGTACTTACCTCTTAATCCAGTAAGTTTGGTCCGATATTTTTCGGTCCAATCTATAAAATGACCCTGCGTTTTGGGTCCAATCCTTTTTTTTTTTTTTTTGTCCTTTATACTAAGTTTTTCATTTCGACCAAGAACATTGCAAAATAGGAATGGGTTTTATGAAGTATTAGTGACAAGTGAGACAAATATCAACAGTCGTACGTTGGGATGCATATTAGTTGTAGAAAATTCAAACATGTGGTAAAAATTTACATTTTACTTAGGT